AACCACATTATACCAATACAATACAATACACCTACTCGTTCTAACTCCCTTTAGCAACTCATGCGCCTAGTTATTTAGAATAAATTTGGTTGTACGTATTGTTTCTATATGGAGTTAAGTTCAATGATTCGCATGTTGATGCGCTCTGTGTAACCATCGACTGGAATAAGTCCAGTTCTGAATGACTTACTTGGTTGTAATTGACCGAAATTCGCGACCCATCCCTCCCTCCCAAAGAAAACATGTCATTTTCATGAATATAACTACAGAATATCAATATCATGTGCTAATTTGACGGGTTATCTCTATAAAAAAAAAAAAACACTTGGAATTGTTCGGTAATTCTGAAATTATTCGATTTTTGTTCGGAAAATCGACTCCGTTCTGGACATTTAAAGGATTTTATTGGATGAATGCGTATTTATACGTTTTTTATATGATAAATTTCAATCAAAATTTTCTATTTTTTTACATCGTAATGAAATCAGCACAAACAAAAACCCCTGTTCGGAAAATCGACTCATTCTGAACAATTCCTAACAATTTTAGAAAAACATTTTTTATAGGGTATGCAGTCGGGAAACCACAGACCAGCGTTTAAGCCGCATAAATTCAACTGCTTGCGGTTATCTCCCGGTGTAATATTATTGCTATTTCCGGGAGCATATCCTGTTTCAGATTTACAACATATAAATTACAACTAATTGAACTTGCCATTTTCATAATTATATCTGTTAAATATCAACATCACATAATTAAGGGGAAATGTATTTGTGAAAATAAACATGTATAAATTTTTTTTCTAACAGTGGTCAAAAATAAAATTGTATTCATTCTGATCCAAATACAGAAACATATTTCGAAATTTTAACTAATTATTTCAGTTTTCCTTCGCTAATCCTTCTAATCCTTAGATCTGAATTTATTGCAAATTGTTTTGTAATCGAAGTATAATGCTGCACGACACAAAAAGGATGGTGATAATTTTATAAGAAACAACTCAGAAAGGAATTGTGTAAAAATTATTTAAGAGTAATTATATATCATGAGGAATATTTAATGTGAACTGATATTAAATTGGAAAGCTTTGTTCTTTTTCATGACTTCCAATACTTTAATAAGAAAATTTTTTTATACATACACTTACTAAAGCAAAATGTAAGTTATAGTTATTGTATGGGTTGTAAAAAATAACTAAATTTCGTAACTCTCTGAAACATGCTCGTAATTTACGTTGAATTATTGTCTATCTTTCGGAGATTTCCTGCTGCTGGCCTGAATTTATGATCAAATCCCGCGATGTATTTTGAAATCTGATATTCTGCAATAACTATAATAGCTATAATAACTATGAGAAATTCTGCAGTTTTCTGTGAATCACATCGTCTCTGCCCCAAATTAAACCTAAGCATCAGACTCGGGTCTACTATCGCTACTATCACCATCGTGATGCTTTATAATCAATTTTAATTTCTTTGGCATCAAGTTAACCTCGTTCTTAGTTTCAGTGCGACTACGTCATGTAGCTACGTACCTAAATAAACAATAATGCAAGCAAAAGTCTGCCAATAATTGATTAACCTATTTACATTATGAAAAAAAGAATAATATAATATGCATCATTAATCTTTATTTGTCATTTCAATTAGAAATTGCCTGAAAAAGTTGCAATGATGAATGTTTCGTTTTTCATTAGGTATCATATGGAAAAAATGCTATACACAATAATAGAATGCACTCTGGCACTTAATGTTAGGGCGCATTTTATTCAAAATTTTTATTTGAAAGTTAATTGAATGTCAAGAAAAAAATATGCAAATAAAATTATTGAAGCAATAATGAAATAAACTAATATTTAAATGATATCAGAAAAAGGTAAAATAAAAATAATAATATTTTATTATGAATTTTCAAAAGAAAGTAAAAATCATTTTGAAATCATTATAATCATCATTAAAACCACATCTTATCACGCAAATGTGAATTTTTCTTAGAAATGTCATCGTCATCATCATCAATAGACCATCCGATTACAGGAGAAACAATTGTCTAACCATCGGAAATTTCATGATTAGCACCAACAAACCCAGCAATAAACTTTAAAGATTGATTCGTGTCAATGAATTTAAAAGGAACTTCGACTGTGCCTGGTGGTGGAAAATTCTCAAAATCTAAATGGTTTTGATGTAAAGCACTTCCATTACGATCGTATGGAAAGAAACCCAAAATCCATCCTGTAATAAATGTTCCGCCTCCTGAACCAAACTCCTCATATTTATTCATAATCCTACTCAAAAATCTTCATCAATATCACCACTATAAGTGGCTATTAATTTCAAAATTACTGGTTCAAGACGATCCAACCAAAAATC